CTATGATAGATAGAGAGAATCTGTGATTCTTCCTAGTAGTTTAGATATCACTACAGTTGAATAGTTACAAAATGGTAATTTTGCATGACAATAACTTGAACGAATAGGCTGTATTAAACGCATTTTAGCTGCCGTGTTTCCTGTTTATTCGAGATACTAGTACCTAAATCATAATACCAGTCATTGTCTTTTCTACCTCCATGCTCAGGCTCTTTTTTCTCCTAGCTCAACAGCATCATGCCATGTAAAGAAAAAACACAAGCACGACACTAAAATCGTTTTCAGTCACTAATTATTCAAGGGCACTATTCCGTTCGACTCTGATCAAACTGAATCGAACTCTGGCAGATCTCGGCTCTCGTTCGGCTCCCGACCGTATGAACGCATTGGATATAATCTCCTGTTAATCCGTGGGAGGAGAAGTAGTTCGGCTCCGATAGAATGCTGCCGTGTGAACATAGCAATTATTTTGATATTTCTTTAGTTTTTCAGTTTTAGTGTTTATTTTTTATCACATTTGTTTATTTATGTCTTGTTATTCTCTTTACCTTAAAAAATCCTCTGATGATTTAGTTGTGTAATAAAGTTATTATTATCTAACAGCAACATAAATAAGAATTGCTGACAATTTATATGTTAATGAAAGTAAACAGTTAAACATTTTTAAGACACTTGTAAATATTTTACAAATACAGAGCAGTGGGGCAGATACAGTAAAGTTTTATTTAACATTCTGTAGACATATTTTGAACATAAGCAATAGAACAAGTACAATATTGGATGGCACCTTGAAACTGGGAGACTCATATTGATCAGAAGAATTCAATAACAGGCAATTAAATATTTAATAGTAAAGTATTTACAACAATTGTCCTATAAATTTAAGCCATTGTGCAATCAAGAAACTTGAACGATGTTGTTGTACTGGTTTCACAAAATATTCAATTCAACATTGATCTCTGGCAACTCAAGACAACAATTTGAAAATGAACACTACAAAAACATATAGATCGCTGATATTACAAGAGAGGACTCAAAATTAAAAACATACAGCCTTTTAAATAATGACACCAACATTTCATCCTACTTAAATGTATTGCACAAAAGGAATTATATACTACATGTATGTAGTAAACTCATTTCACAACTTAGGTTGAGAAGCCACAATCTACAAATTGAATTTGCTCGTCACTAAAAGCCAAAAACACAAATTTGAGGACAGATTTTGCAAACATTATAACAAACAAGAAGATGAAATTCACAACTAACGAACAATTTGAAATTATCATAAATGCAGCAAATATAAAACTTTTGAAACAAGTAACTAAATACACAATGTACTTGTGAAACACAAAAACTATTATCTATTATCAATTATCTTCTTGACGGTTTTATTAATATATGAGCCAACTTTGTCATCACAAAAAAATGTATTTCAAGTAGAGAAAAAATACTGTAATAGTACATTTTGATTATATACCAGTAGTTTTGTTATCCTTATTCTCTCTCAACCACATGTAGTTTTATAGCGCATTGCAACGCATTGCAAGTTTAGAATTTAAAACAAAAACTTACCTTATCTGTGTCATCTTCAATGGCCACATCCATTCTGTGTTCACCGCCTCGTTTGCTCATACTGTCGATTGGCTGCGGAATACAATCCAAACAAGTTTCGGAGGAATCACTATTACGGTAAGTTGACCAGAGTTTTTATCTGCAACAGAAAACAACATACGAGAATTTAAATATTACATGTACCTTATTTGCTCTGAGAGTATGCTTACATAAACTATGGTCAAAAGGAGTAATATTTTTATGACTCAGTATATAGCCAATGCAAGTTTGGTTTATATTCGCTTCTGTTAAAGATGAGCTTCTACTAGAACAAATACACCAAATCATAATTGATATTTGCAGAAATCACAGGGCTTGAACTTCACGCAGGCACTAAAACTGCCTTGATGTCAAAGGAGTTTGCCTTGGTGCCCTTAGATAATCAAAGAAAGCTTAGAAAGAACTCCCGTGTGCTGAGAGTATTGGAGACACATTAATTCAAAATTACTTGAACTTGAGATATTGATGGAAATGCAGAAAACTAATTATGCAAATAAGGTAACTAATATGAACACATTTAAGTGTAAAACTAATAAGGTCTGCGCAATGTAAAAGTAATAAGATCTGCGTAATGTAATATCTATGTACCAAGTTTCATTGAAATGTGATTAGAACCAAAAAATTATTAATTATTGAACAGATTTTAACCCAAAATTAATCAGGCTGTCTATTGTCCTATAGCATTTATGTACCAAGTTTTATTCAAATGTGATGATCAATACTTGAGATATCAGTATTAATTAATTATGTTAATTAGGTGATTAAGAAGCATAAATATTTACCAAAACTAATATGGTGTACAGTCCTACACATGTAGGT